AGCAGCCACGCCTAAGCCCCAAACCCTAAACCCTAAACCCTAAACCCTAAACCCTAAACCCTAAACCCTAAACCCTAAACCCCACACCCCAAACCCTAAATCCTAAACCCTAAACTAGGAGACATACTTTGCAAGGGCCCCGCGCTGAGTGCTGCGGAGTTGTGAACGGATGAGTCATAGACTAAGGAGACATCGAAGCGGTTCTTTAGGTGCCGCACGGGCACACCAGGAGACTCCTGAGGAGACAAAAGGAGACAGAAAGGAGACAGAAAGGAGACAAAATGAGGTATAGAATAGAGAGACAGCAGACAGAAAGAGAGACAGAAAGACAAAGGAGACACAAGGAGAAAGGAGACAGAGGAGGAGACAGAAAGAGAAAGAAGACAGAGGAGGAGACAGAAGGCGAAAGGAGACAGAAGGAGAAAGGAGACAGAAGAAGAGACAGAAAGAGAAAGGAGACAGAAAAAGAGACCGAAAGAGAAAGGCGACCGAGGAGGAGACAGAAGGAGAAAGAAGACAGCACAGGAGACAGAGGGGGGAAGGAGACAGAAGAAGAGACAGAAAGAGAAAGGAGACAGAGGAGGAGACAGAGGGAGAAAAGAGACAGAAGGAGAAAGGAGACAGAAGAGAGGGTTAATTACTTCTGTCTGCGACTCTTCTTCGCCTCCAAAGAGAAGAGAGTGCTGCTGTGTCTCCTCTGCTTTAAAGGGCACCATCACTTGAACGAGCGACCGCGTCTGCTGTATAAGGCGAGCCTCAGGCAATGCTGCTGCTGCTGCTACTGCTTCCTCCTCCGTCATCTGCAGCAGCAGCAGCAGCAACAGCAGCAACAGCAGCAGCAGCAACCCAAGAAAGAGATGTTAAGCAGCAATTCCCGCAGCAGCAACAAATACAGCAGCACAAAAGCAGCAGCACCACCAACGCCAAATGCAGCAGCAGCAACAACATCAAAGCTAGCAGCAGCAGCAGCAGCAGCAGCAGCAGCAACAGCAGCAGCAGCAGCAGCAGCAGCAGCAGCAAGAGCAGCAAGAGCAGCAGCAGCAGCAAAGTAGTCGACCTGAAGTCTGTTTGCATCATAGGCGTTGTGGGGTACGACGGTGACGGTGAGAAGCAGAGACAAATCTTCTGTCTCTACAAATTGTTTATTTAGGTGTACGTACACCTCGTGCTCTAAAGACCGCGACCACCAATCATATGTGTACGTAGCATTCATCAGCCTCCACACTTCAAATGCAGGAGGCAGAGGCAGCCTAGATCCGCAAGCATCTGCTGCTGCTGCTGCTCCTGCTGCTGTTGCTCCTGCTGCTGCTGCTGCTGCTCCTGCTGCTTTTCCTGCTGTTTCTTCTGCGGTTTTGCTTTTTGCTGCTGTTCCTTTTTCTTCTTCTGCTGCTGCTGCTGTTGATGTTTCTCCTGCAGCAGCAGCAGCAGCTGCTGCTGCTGCTGGCTTTGATGCGCAGTAAGTTCTTTGCTGCTCTTGCTGATTAAAGAGCGTCTTGAGAGCAATCTTGCCTTCAATAGCAGCAACATCAGCAAGCGGAGACACCCCAACGCCGAAGCTCGCCTTATACTTTTCTAAGACACTGTATTGTTGAAGGGGCTCTGAGTATTGACGTGTAGAGACGGAGACAGAAGAAGAAGGCAGATAATGAAGATGAATAAATGCATCCTAAAAGGAGACAGCAAAGCAGACAACAAAGGAGACAGTAGAGGAGACAGTAGAGGAGACAGCGGAGGAGACAGCGGAGGAGA